GTTTTGAAAGTGGTAATATTATTGTTCAATGAATACAAGCAAACTCCTCTTCCACTCCGATTTGTTCTCTAAAAAATATCTATATTTACTAGTGAGAGGATATGTAATGTGTTAAGAACTAAAAAAAATATCTATATTTTATTATAAGAAATGGTAATCTCATAACTTCATCTATAAAAAAAATTATCAAAACTATTTTCTAAGCTATTTTTTTATCAAAACATTAATATTTTAGAATAAAATTAACTTTGTTTTAAGAGGACAAGTTAAGAACTAAATAAAAAAAAATTAAGCATTGATTTTATAAAAAAATTAACTATTTTTTTTTAAGACAAACTTTTTATTTGTAGTTTTCTTAACACGTGTCCTTAAGCAACAAGTTAGTGTGACCCAATATTTTATTTGTATTTTTAGTTTCAATGGAATTAATTTGAAGCTCATTTAACTAGTTTATCGTAAATGAACATATAAGTCTCATAGGTCGGCCCAAAAGATAGAATATATTTTTCATGATTTTTAGAGTCCAACACTTACTAAAATATGGTGTTGTACAATACCACCTTATATGTTTCTCCTGAACTATATGAAAATTCAATAATTCCCTTCGTCGGGTCGAAAAATCATCTTTCAGACGCACCTAAAAGTTTTCGCAATAAAATCTACTGATTTTTGCTAATATTTAATACTTCTCATGGATACATGCGAGTTTTTTTTTGTGTGTGCAAGTAATAGTATTTGGAAGTTAACTTTCAAACAATCCTCTTTGATTATGGTATATGATGCGTTCGAAAGTTAACTTCTGAACATATTAGTTTCTTTGAGAAAAATTCGTATATACAATTGAGAAATTTGTCGTGGTTTTCTTAAATAATATATTGTTTTTTGATAATTTTAATTTCTATGTAAATTTCACAAGAATATATGATGTTTTTGCTAATATGTAACATTTTTTATAAATATATTCAGTTGTTTTTTTCCGCGGGTAATAAGATTTAAAAGTTAACTTTCAAATAAACCTTATAATCATTTCCTAAGTGAAATCATATGGATAACATGATATAATTCATTTTTGGAAGTTAACTTCCAACAAAAATATTTGAAAATATTTTTAAGACTGAGAGAGATACTTATAGTTTAATGAGCAATCAGCCTAAAATCTAAATCTGTTGGACCGAGTTGATGGATCGAGCCATTTTGATAGGTCATTATTGTCAGTCCCACATTCGTGTTTATTGGAATAACATTACAATATAACTTCAATAAGGGAATTATCCATTACACCTTTAAATGTTCATCCCATACATCTGAAAATCTGAAAACGATCTTCAAACGTCCGGAAATGTATCTTTGAACCATCCAAAATCACACCATACTTCATTTTTCTTGAGATCTACCCCATATTGAACAAAATATGGTCAGCAGATGCATCTCTATATATTATTTGGATGTATCTGGATATGCATCTCTAAAATATCCACTGAAGTCCTTTAAAAGTTATTAGAAGCGTGTTAATGAGAAGGGGGGTTATTTTCGGAGATGCATTTCTGAAAACTCCCCTAAATCATTTGAGGAGGTTAATTATTAGTATTCTCTTGTTATCTTTGAACCTTTATTGAGAAAGTGAATAGTAAAACAGTTTTAACCAATTCTTTATTCTTCTTCCTTCTTTTCTATCCTTTGTAAAACCTAATAGGATTTCTTATGTTTGTTCAAGAAACTCAATTTTTCTCATATTTTGGTTTGTTCTTGACGACATCAATTCAAAACAAACTGGTGTGGTGAGTGTGGAGAAGAAGATGTCGTCAATAAAGTATGAGATTGAGAAATTCACTAGTGTAAATGATTTCGGTTTGTGGAGTTTGAAGATGCAAACCCTTCTTGCTCAACAGGGTTTGTGGATTTTGGTTTGCATAAAGATGAAGTAAAGAGGTCTCAAATGGGCCTCTTGAATAACATTCTAATGGGCCAACGGCTTCCTTTTGGGCTTCAGGAATTTCATAGACTTCATGGGCTTCAGGGTCTATTGCATCATTTAGGGACTCGTGGCCTCATGAAGTAGATGCTTGAGAGAGCCGGCTACGAGAAGTAGAACCTAGGCGTTGTAAACTTGATGATTGTGAACCATCAAATGAGTTATCATTAAGTCATGGTTTTGTGGTCCTAGATGTAGCCCTCTCACGCCGTACTAATGCGGCTTGGGATGCACATCCCAGCCTAACGTTGTTAGGGTTGTTTTCAGCATTGTTATCAGCCATTGCACCTACGTTACAAACCGACACTGAGATAAAGAGAATGTCAGTACAAATCCACAAAATCCACGAAATCTTTCAAATTTTAGCATGAGTCCAATTCAGAGATGAATATCCGAAAATAGCTCTAAGAAAAATCAAAAATGCATCTCTAGACAAACCTGCGATTTTCACCATGTTAGAAATGTCATTGTTGCCCTAACCATTCAAAAATCTGCTAATGTGAGTTCTTGTAGGCTACCAATTCCGTTTACACTACTATCTAATGTATCTAAAACAACTAATGTAGCTTAAACAACTAAATACAAATCAAAACATAAAAACATAATTTTTTTGAAAAACTTACCAATTCATATTGATGAGAAGGAGAATTAGAAGCTTGAATGTATGCGATGTTGGAAAGGAAGAGAAAGAGCTTCTACAATAGAAGTTTGAATGAATGGATGAGATGTTTGAATGCGCGAGAGCTCAAATATTTTGTTTTGAAAAGTTTTTAGAAAATAAAGGAGGAAAAGGGAAGGTCTGGCGCGAGCATATCAAACAAAAGCGTCCGGAGATACATCTCCGAACCACCTACTAAGAGTCTGCTTTGTAAGAACCAAAAAAGAGCTTTTAGCTTTTAGCTTTCCAACTCACATTAATGAAAATTTTGTGTTTGGTAATTGTCTTTTAGCTTTTAACTTGTAACTCTTATACTAGCTTTTAGCTTTTTCTCAAAAGCTATTTGAAATAGCTTTTGAGTTTGTAGTTTATAGCTTATAACTTTTTCTTTTATTTGTATCCTCACTATTTTATCAAAAACTCATTTTTATCCTTTATATTTTATTATGATTTAAATTAAAATAATTGTGTTTTAATTGAGGAAATAAAAAATGTTAGTCATTATTTTTAGAGAACAAATTCACGATTCAAATCATCTTCCATTTTGTTCTTCTATACTTTTCACTCAATCTTCCTCCATTCTCATTCCGTAAAACATCCACATTTGCTATGAATTGATGTTTTTTATCATTCGTAACTCGTAACTCTTATTCCATCATTCGTAATCTACCGTCAAATCATAGGTTTTTTATCTCTCATTTTTATTTTTTACACAAATATCTTCATTTCTCTTCAACTAATTTTTTTTATATTATACTTCAATATATTTTTGTTTGTAATATTGTTATGGTATGTGTTTTGTTTTATTTTATTTTTTTGTAAAATTCTTTGATTTATGATTTATTGAAGAAAAAAAACCTAAATCTCAATTTTATATTTTTATTACTTATAATAAATAGAAGAAATTATACAGCTCGCAACATTTTGATTTAGTGCTAATACGTTTATTTTTATTGAATCAAAATTAATTTAATAAATAGAATTGCTAATTTTTTAATTAAGAATTTTATTTTATGTTATTTTATATTTATCAAAGCAAGTGTAACCGCTAATTTATCAAACACTCGAATTAGTTTATCAATTATAAATCATCAGTTATAAGCTATCAATCACCCGTTATAAACTATCAAATATTAGTCATTAGCTATCTACTACCAACTAATTTATCAGCTATTAGCTAATTTTACAGAGATGCATCTGATATGATTAAATTTTTGTATAATAGAGATACTCCATCAATTTGATCTAAAAATGACTTAAAATAAGTGCAATTGAAGATGGATCTCCAAAAGTGATTAACATTTGTGAATTTTCCCGGAGTACTAGGGAGATAAGGGTGAAAAGAGTGCCCCTTTCAATTATATATTATCTGACCCACCAAGTTGATGAATAACATTTGACAGCTTCTGCAGTAGCACACTTCAGTCAAGCATATATAACATTTTACTGTTGGTGAGCTCCACGTGATGTAGAGGATTTAAGCTTGTATTAAAAATAATAAATCCATAAGGCCTTAATAATTAATGTATTGAATAGTTGTCATGCTCTCACCTATAAAAATTGTGGTGGCCTATTTTATGATTCCTTGGATGTGTTGATCATTGGTTTCTATGAACCATTACTATGGAAGTCTATGCCATGCTCAAAGTCATTGAAATTGCCTCTGATAATTATTTACCTCATCTTTGAATTGAATCAAGTTCTCTAATGGTGGTTATTCTTTTGGTGATTCTTCTCATGTTCCTGTACATAAATTCTAATACAGTTTCATGTCAACCTTATCCAAATACCAACAATCGTTTTGATTTAGATTTCAATTAACTGATTTTGGTTGGTCCTTTGACTCATGCGCATTTATGAGTCAAAAATCAAAACGCCACATAACTATCTCCCCCATAACCCATCAAATTTTATCATATACTTTATTAACTACATATAATACAAAAATAAATATAACACTAACAAATTTTAAAATACACATCTTGTATTAATCTTGATAACCCACCAAAATTTAAAAATAGCTTCTATATGAAATTTACAAGGGGAACTCTCAAATACTTAGACAAATAGAAGAATTTAAATCTGAAATAAAAACTAAAAATTAAAGGTCTTGAACAAATCCACTAAGCAGCTTCCATTCTATTGCAGCTAGAAATAAAAATATATATATATATATATATATATATATATATATATATATATATATATATATATATATATATATATATATATATATATATATATATATATATATATATATATATAATGCAGCCCAAAAGCAAGTGTATTTCTCAAGAAAGACATGAGTGACTTCTCTCCATTGTTAACTTTTCCTTTTGCTTTTTTCTTTTCCATTTTCTAGCACATAATTTACTTCGTCTTCCTCCGCATGCCCATCCGCGATTTGGCATATCTAAATTCTTATTAAGAAAATACCATAAACATGAAGTAAAAAAAATGCAACCCGCCAAATGGAAATAAACTAAAACCAGATAAAGAAAACGCTACGCTGGTAGCCAAAGGATACTCTAAACGGATTCCTTCGCCGGCCGCTGAGGAATAAAGAATGGTGCCTTGCAGACTGTTTAAGGCGGCAGTTGCAGTCTCAACATCCTGCATGTGTAGTTAGCAGTCAAACTAAGTAAAACACTCAACTTTAATCATGCAAATCAAATATGGCAACCAATAGAATAGGCCAAAAATCCAAACATATGAACACTGATTGCACATAATTTAATATGTACTTTTAACAGAAACCAGATTTTTATGCTCGAACCTAACGACTTTGCATGCAGATATAGAATACCGAAGGAATCCATTTAAAGATGAAATCGGAAGTAACATGCTGAGAGATAAACTAGTATTTACCCAATTATGAAATATGTAGCACAAAATTAAAAGGCAAAAAAAGAGAAACCTTGAAATCTACAAATGAAACAGGAGCCCCATATGTGCTTTGCATCTTCAGTTTCAGAAATCCAGGAAACCTGTTGGAAGATGCAATTAATGTAAGCAAAAAGTCATAAACAACTTCAGCTTATACAGCACTAACAAATAATTAAGTACTTCACATGATTCTTGTACACTGACCTGCAAAATACTTGGTTTAGCTCTTGTTCATTACAAGATGGCCCCAGATTAGCTACAAATAAAGTCGCGCATGGGATTGTATTCGTTGGAATGTAAGGAGTTGAACACTTTTTCTGTCATAACAAAATTAAAAATGCAGCTTTTACAATGATACTCTCAAATTTGTCGGAACATGAGAAAAAAATAGACATGAATATATATGGCCCTACAAACATTAGAAACAACTGATATATAAGCACTGCATAAGAATGATCAGACCTGCATTTTATTTTATTCACGATAAATGATTGATTGGTGGATGTTACAAAATGCGGTATAGATTGAAGAAAATATTACAATCAGGTATCCGTATCATAATATTAATTGTAATCAATAATAATGCTAAACAGCCTAAACAATTAAGTAAAGAATGTGTCTCTGAAGGTGTCGTCCAGTGGTATGGGTTGAGACATTGAAGGTGGGGTGTATCATGAAGGAGGTTCAGAGTTCAATTCTTGTTAACAACAAAGAATGATCAGACTTGCATTTTATTTTATTAATGACAAATGATTGATTGGCAGATGTTACAGAGTGCGGTATAGATTGAAGTAAATATTACAATCAGGTATCCATCAGAGAAGTATCGTGATAGCATGTCAATCGCAATCATAAATAATACTAAACAGCCTAATCAATTATCTAAAGAACATGTCTCTGTAGGTGTGTCCAGTGGTATGGGTTGAGACATCAAAGGTGTATCATGAAGGAGGTTCAGAATGGGTGAAAGTAAAAGTTAAAAACAGAACAGAAAAAATATAGGTCAAATCATTGAGAAATTTAGAAATAAGTGATCTATCTTTTAACCAAATACATGACAAATTGAATGATATCATTTGGTCCATGTAGCGACTTTGTGGGAAAAGACTTGATATGGTGGTTGATGTCATATTAAATGTTGTATAAATTCACTTAAAGTCTCCACCCAAGAGCCTTTAGCTCAAGTGGCACCAACCCCTTTAAGAGATCAATGAGCCCCATAATAGAAACAATGCCCTATACTCCAGCTTACCATCTTCCTCTCCACACCAGAACACAGTCATAATTAGATCATTTCTATATTAACAGCAAGCAGTGTTGTCGATGGCGGATGACAGTCCATGGCAGAGAGTCAAAATTCTGCCATACCAGACACTTTGCGGCAACGTTATAGCGGATTATAGCGGAAAAACCTGCAATATCGGTCGATATTTACCATTGCAGTGAGCCCAAAAACCTCCATGCATATCCGCCATGGCGCCGCTATTTGATAACACTGGCGGCAAGATAATCAAAATGGAGATTTACCCAAGGATTGGAGGAGAGATAAGATATGAGTGAACAGAAGATTTTATCGGAAAAAGAAAAAGAAGAGTATAACTAACTGGTACATCTAGAGAGCAACTTACAAGGTCCTTCCATGAAGAAATCTAGGAAAGGGTCAGAATGCATGACTCTACCGTAAGCAGGTTTTTACAAGACCTACATGCCGGGGCTAACAATCCTTTGTACAGTTTGGGCCTAGAAGGATAGCGAGAATTGCAAAATTATTCAATCCTACGAGCAAAGTCCGTGCAATCTTGACAACACAAATTAGCGGTCAAGAAGAGTCAAACTGGTGAAAGCATTGGGTTGGGTGAATACTGTTAACAGTGGAAAAGGGAACAAAATGGAATATGACTCTAAATAGTTGTACGGGGAGAAAATGCTATATACAATGAAAAAAGTAGGTGGACTTCCCAGGCCTCATAAAATTGCAAAACCAACAAAAAGGACAGGCAAAAACAAGCTTTTGAATTCATCTTTAACCACAACAAGTGGGGGAGACATGTTCAAATCAACAACACTGCTTTTTTAGCATGATATATAACCATTTGAATCATATAATAGTGGAAAAAAAAATTTATGTGATACAGAAATCAAATACATTGAGTGCTTTAAAAAACTAACCAGATGTGGAAATAGACTGTTGTGAAGAGCAATCCCGTCAGCATTTCCATGACTATAACCAAAAATATATATTAGACAATATAGCATGAAATACAATGGAAATAGCTACCCTAAAAATGTAATTGATAATTCAAACATATTGGTTTTCTTCTAGTGGAGAAAGAGTTCGACAGCTGAATCTCGAAAAACTTAGGAAATTGAAAAATGTGCTTTATCCGAGCTAGAAGCAATCACTTCCATATAAAAAAGTTGTGATTAAGTAGTGCAGATGACCTTTGTGCAGGTGGATAACCAATCATGTTCGTGTTGAAAGCAGGATTACCCATTCCAGGCATGTGAATGCTGCTAACACCTGCTAGTGCCGAAGAGTGCAAAACACGTGTAATGTGAGCTCAAATATAAAAGTGTCTTTTGTGTGATCAATACTTAACTGGTCTTCAAAAAAGATGTTAGAAATTGAATTGAGCAAAAGAATACAATAGTAAAGGGGGGAAAATCCATACAAGTCACATAATAGAGAAGATATTTGCATTTATCTAGAATCAACTTACCAGAATCAGGAGTTGGCCATGAAGGTGCTGATCCTCGAGCTTTCTTATCTGAGCCAGCTCTCTCATCATCTGGTTGTCATGGAAAATGGAAATCAAACGCACCAATTTATTTGGAAGCTCTTGAAAAAAATGAGATTAAAATACTTTTTGAAGATCATAGCCACAAATAATTATTCTAAAATCAACCTACTATCTGCTTAATTGGATTGGAGCATTTTATTCTACACTTAATCATGTTGCACAGTAGTCAAGCTATTTTAGTGATATTATACAATCTATAAAATTCAATATTGATTATGCTCCCTGCCAAACGTGATTTAAGTGACAATGGAAGTGTTTGAATATAACAAGTGGGAAAAGGTAGCTTTTGAGTTGAGAATTGAGACAACCCCACTTGACCTGAAACTCAATTCTAAGTTGTAACTAAAACAATTTCAATATCAATTTCATTCTAATTCACCTTTATCAAACATTCATTCAAACTCACACTTAATCTTAAGAAAATTGAAACTTTCTTCCTACATTCAATCAAACCCACAAAACCTATCAATTTTTATACATCAAAAGTAGTTCTACTCTGAATGGCAAAATAAAGCAATAAAAACACACACCTATCCTTGCACGTTTAGCTCTAGAGTTCGATTTAGCCAGATCAATATATAGAGTGGAACCCTTTTCAAGATCAAAGACCATCCCCTGCAAACATCAATCAAAATTTTCAATATTCATATAGATAAACGGAATGGCCAATATACTCATGAGTGTCTCATTGTATCAAAACTTCAAAAACATCCCTATGTGTGTCATCATTTAGTAGTTACTAATTTTATGGACCAAATTAATAAAGTAACATAAGACACACTTGAGGACCAAACAGACTAGCAAAAAACACATTTGAGGATTATTTGTAATTTTAATATAGTGCCCCCTATGAAGCACGGACACCGGGGACACAAGAAACACGACACCGACACACTGACATTGACGGATAATAATTTGAGAAAATGAATAAACTAAACGTAATCACAACCGCCGATTTTCAGAGGTATCGTGCTACATGAAAGCTGTTTAATCATAAATACATTGAAACCCCATAAAATAACACATAATATCCTCACATTAAGAGCATGCAATGCCATGATTGCAGATTGCTGATTGGAGAAAACAGCAAAAGCAAACGCCTGTCACACAACAAACAAAAAAAAAACATATCAGAAAACAAAGCAAAGGAACAATCCACAATATCATGTTTTACGCGATCAAGATTGTACCTGCGATGAATTATTAGGACTTCTAAGATGCGATGACTCATAACCGGGAAATTCTCGGAAAAGATTGTAGATTTCGCGGGGCTTAACATCTTCGGGAAGACCAGCGATGAAGAGAGTGCGAACATCGTTGGATGAAGATAGAGGAGGAACGTAAGAACCATACACGGGTTGATGCGAATGGTACTGTGGAGGAAGGTGATGCGGCGGCGGTAGAGGAGCACCGGGAGGCGGTGGTATCACCGCTATGGGTTGAGGAGGAGGAGGCGGTGGCGGTGGATAATACTGATAAGTTAGGAGATTCGGCGGTTGGTTCTGAGCGTAGTAGGCTGCCATGTCGTCCATTGAAGTTCGATTGCACCTCAGAGTCACGGCACAAGCCCTAGAATTTTGATTTCGGTTTTTTTGTTGTCCTCAAATTTTGAATTGCTTTGTTTTTTATTTTAATTGAAATTCTCAATAGTACTATTTTGTTTTTTTGTTCGAAATAATAGTAACCTTTTTGGTTATGAGCATCTGTTTGTTGATTAAGGTGGGCTGGACCATTGACAGTAGGTTGTACAACGGGTATGCTGTTCACACTTTCTTTATTTCTAGTTCACCTCTTCATATCAGATTTATTTTTCAACGGAATTTATTTATATCTGATAAAAACAACTCAAATTGAATCTAACCTAAAGGAATTAGACTCTTACAAAGAGAGGTTGGTGATGCGGTTTCAATCAATTTTAAAATAAAAATTTATTTTATGTAAAGATAAATTTACTTGTGATTTTATTCGATTTTGGATGATTAGTTAAAAAATATGATTGATTTAATTTTATACGGTTTAATTTGAATTGAATTAAAATGTCTGAACTATAAATTATATTTTTTATTACTAAAAAATCTATAATTTATAATTTATAATCTATTATAAAATCTATAATTTATAATTTAGACATATATTATAAATTATATTTTATTATAAAATTTATAATTATATTTTTTATTATTAAAAAATCTATAATTTAATCTATAATTTAATATTATATATATATATATATATATATATATATATATATATATATATATATATATATATATATATATATATATATATATATATATATATATATATATATATATATATATATTACAAAAACATGGTGACGGGGGAGAAGATTGATACAACAAAAGGAATATCAATATGATCACAACTTGATAAAGATTCTCCGAAATCAGATAAAGGACTAAGGATTGAAGAAAAAAAATTTGGTGATTTTGATAGCCCAAAAGAGTTCAACTGTTATGTCTCATCTATATAGTTCTTTGTATAAAAACGTATAAAAAGGTACTTTCGTTCGTTTTTTTTCTTGCGTTTTTTTCTCTAAGTATGGGACTAGTGAAATTTTTAATTATTCTGATTGGTTCGTTGTCTGATTGAATATTATGCTATGTTGGTTAAGGTTGGAGTTCATCATTAAAATGGAAATAATGTTGACTTGGGAACTGTACTTGAAAAGTAATACAGAGTGTGTTGTCTCGGCATTGTTGATCTTGGTGATTCCGACATTATTAAGTCAATTCCTGGTGACCAATAAAAGTAGTTAAGATATTTGAATGGTGTTGAAAGAGCGGGAATTGAATTGAAACAGGTGGTTACTCGAAGGCACATAGAGACTCGTAGAAGAAAATAATTGCATGAAACTGAAACTTAACGTGATAAGGTTAGTCGATCGTTTGTAAATAGTTATTTTGGATTAGTATATAAATGAACGCATGTTTACATTTTAAGAGTCCGCAATTATACTCAAATTTCTATATACTCAAAGTATCTACGTAATTAAGAAACGAGTTAAGGAAGTGTACGTATGTGTTCCACATTTATAAGTTTCAAGCTTTTTTACATTCAAGTATTTTCTTGTATTCATTTATGTTTCGATCTTTGCCATTTCGTCTTTAGTTTGCACATTTCGATTTCAGTCATTTTTGTCATTAAAACCTTGTATTTCGAGTCTTGTTAAAATTCACGTTGTTATTCTTCAAGCATTACGCTTCGATTTCGACAACAACAACATGTTCAAAGTCTTAATTACACGCAAATATGTTTCGGGATATTTTCAAGTTTAATCACTTAAATATTAATAAAAATTTATTTTGTTTACCAATTTTCCAAGTAAACAATGATGCATGCTTCTAAAAGTTGCATGCATGCGCCAAACACATTAGTTACTCCTAAATGCATTCGCCATAGACAATGGGCCTTAGGCCAAAAGATGAGTGCATGCACCATAGACATTGACATATCCTCTTGGGGCAGATTTTTTTAGTTTGAAAAGTGGTTACTTTGCTTCTTTTTTTTTCTAAAAAATTGATTATTTAGAGATATTTTTAGAAAAAAATTGGATTATTTTAAAATAAATTATATATATATATATATATATATATATATATATATATATATATATATATATATATATATATATATATATATATATATATATATATATATATATATATATATATATATATATAATATTACAAAATAAAAAATGATAATGAAATTATAAAAATAAAATAATGAAATTAAACTAATGAATAATATTAAAAAATAAATATCAATTAAAAATAAAATTAACGCACTATATTATCTACTTAATATAAATTTAAGGATGTCATGATGTCAACCCTGAATAAAACCATAGCTAAAAGCTAATGTGGCAAACTTACAAATTTTCCAAAATAAAAAATATCACTAAAATTAATATAAATATTTTTTTCTTAATAAAATTCTTCATTCTTTTAATTTTAATTCAAAGATAATAAAAATAAATAATGAATGCTAAAATATCACCATTTGCATCTCTTCGCGTTGAACAAAAAAAAACACCTTAGAACATCTACTTCATCTCCATTTGCAAACAGATTCGTGTAATTTCGTCCAAGGTGGAAGGAGGCGATTTACACATTATCGTACTTTGCATGTGAAACAAATTTGTCGTTTGTGTTCGTTTGAAACTGTTAAATCTAGGAAGGTAAGTATTATATTCTTTACGTTTCTTTGTAGTGGTCTCATGTGTTGATAGTGGTCCCCTTTTAGGTATTTGTAATGGGTCAGTAAAAATTGTAGGTTTTCACCGTTTGGGCAAATTTATGCAGTAATGGGGCTATTCAATGTCATTTTTCATCATGGTGGTATTTTGTCTACGACAAGTTCATATTTTACAGGGGTGGGAATGAAACAATTGTAAATGGTCAAGATTCTGATAGGTGAAGTTACTTTGAGGTTGTTAGTTTAGTTATGGATTTTGGGTATGATGGGTTCAGACTTTGGAGGAAAACTCTAGGACTTGATGAAGGTTATGTTCACTTCCTCGATGACAAACAAGATGGAGAGATTGCAACCTATTGCCTTGATAATAATGTAGATGGCCAAATTTGGGTTGGGCGCCGTGTTGAATACATGGTCAACAAGGTTTCTACACCCAAAGTTTGTGATATAAGTCAGAGAAGTGATGATAGTAGCAGTGGTGATAGTAATATGGAGTTGGATTGGCTTAGTTTTGGTGATAGTGAAGAAGAAAGAACAACAGTAAGAGATGAAAGTTTTGGGAAATTGTTGAAAGTTGTTATGAACAAACCAACACATGGTTCAAGGGTTGAGATAAATGGTTAGTCTCTCAGGTTTAAGCTAAGGGCTAACAAGGACAAGAAGAAAACCCGATCATCCAAAGTCAACCTATTGGTTTCTGCAAATCTATTGGGTTCAAGTTCAAGGAGGAATCCACCTAATATAGAAGTATAAGATGTATAGTATTTAAGTGAATCATTGGGTAGTTCAGATCCTGATGATAATGGCAATGAGAAGCAACCAAAGTATGAGAAATTTATATGGGAGTTGATGAACAAGGATTTTCAATTAAAGTTAGGAATGAAGTTTAAGTCATTGAGTGAATTCAAAGATGTTATTAGGGAGTTGTATGTTCTTAAAAGAAGATATATAAAGTTTGTTAAAAATGAGAGTTATAGAGTTAGGGTAGAGTGTAGGGGAAATGTAGGTTTTTAGCATTGTGTAGTAAAGTGGGTAACAGACACACATACCAAATAAAGATTTGGGTGGGGACACATACTCGTGCTAGGGTTTTATATAACAAATCAGCTAATTCCAAATGGGTTTCTAAGCTAGTGGTGGAAAAAAGAAAGACAATGGGGAAGGTCAAAGTGTCAGAGATAATGTCTGAGATGAGAATGAAGTATTCAGTTGGCATCACAATGGGTAAGGTATGGTGATATAAGTGCTTGGTTGATGAAGTAATATAAGGATATGCCAAAAGACAGTACGTTATGTTGTGGAGTTATGCTACAGAGTTAAAGAAACAATATGCTGGGAACACTATAAAAATTTATGTAGAAAGACCATTGCCAACTATTCCACCAAGATTCGGCAAGTTCTACTTCTGTTTTAAAGGACACAATAAGGGTTTTACTAAGGGATGCATGTCTTTTATTGGAGTAGATGGGTGCCATCTTAAGACAATGTAGTGTGGTCAACTGTTAGTGAATATTGTTAGGGATCCAAATGACTAATATTATCCCTTGGCTTTTGGTGTGGTGGAGAAAGAAACTAAAGAAAGCTGGAGATAATGTTTCTTTCATCGATGGAATGGACATATGGCCAACTGTTGACATTCAAGAGATGTTACAACCAAACTATAAGAACGGTTCAGGTAGGCCTAATAAATTAAGGCTTAGAGAGCATGATGAAATAGGGTCAAGAATGAGGAGGCCAGGTGTGGCTTATAGATGCACCAAATATGGTAAACTCAGCCATAATTCAAGGAAGTGTTAAAGCATTGAACAAGACCCAAATGCCTTGAAAATAAATGTATTTTATTATTACTCACTATGTTGATTTATTACTTACTATGTTGCAAATTGACTGATGTTATGCTTACTTTGATGTAGAGTGAAAGCTCCTGAGGATTGACTAAATTTTGGTAAAACTTGATGAAGAACAAGATGATCCAAAATGAAGAATTTTGCCAGAAAATAAAGTCGAATGAAATATCACAACATAAAGACTCAACATCTCGACACATATAACAGGTTTTGATTTTAAATATGTTCCAAGATTCAAGGTGCGTTTAGCAGTGGATCAAGAACAAAAGATTTAAAGCCCAAGGCAGCTGAAGATTATAAAATAAGACTTAGACTTAAGGCTGGAAAAAAACGAATCATTGTGTAATACTTGTAAAGTATAAAATAAGGGTTTAGGGTTTTGAGAGTCATATGCTTTCTTATGTTGTAAGTCTCCCTTTGTATCGGTTGGATAAATTGTGGTATACATAAATGTTTATACAAAT